AAAAACATTATTCAGCTGAGAGAAGAAAAATTACAAATATATTCCATCCTCAGTATGTTTAAAACCACAGCAGCTGTTTTAATACACTTCTGATAAAAACTCCCAAGTGTTGCTTTATTTTGATACAAAGATTATTTAAGTAGAGTTTATAAAAGCTGAGATACTCAGTTACATTTCAGCTTTTTGAGAAGAAACGTCAAGAAAACCTCTTGGAGCTGAAGAGGTTAAACTCTGGTCATGGGAGGAGATATGTATGTTTGGTTTAACCAGTGGCACATTYACATTAATCAGTTTTTTTACCTTGTCTCTGATCTGTGCCAGTGGTCCAGGACTCAGGTCTTGGACGGACCCCCTCAGGTTCAGCTCTTGGGTCTGGTTCTCTTTGTTTTTCAGAGCCACTGAAGCCATGTCGATGAGCTCCATCACGAAGCTGTGCACGCCCTCCTTCCTGCTTTGGTCTCCACTCTGTGGGCGGGGCAAGGAGGAGGGGGCGTGGCTGCAGCAGGACGAGGATTTGGGACGTTTTTTGGAGGGCAGAGATGAGTCTTTGGCTCGGACCTCCCTCCTCGTCTCCTCCGTCACGAAGGATGAGAACTTGAACTTCTCCTGGATGTTGATGGCCCTCCTCCCTCCTGCAGCTCTGCTGCTGAGCAGTGCATGCTGGGACCTGCGGTCCTCGCCCGGCGAGGGGGGCGGGGGCGAGCGCAGGGGGATGCCGTGGCAGGGCAGCTCCCCCTGCAGCTGTCCCACCAAGGAGGACGTGGGCTTGGAGAAGGTCAGCAGGTCGCAGGACGGGGACAGACACAGACGTCTGGTTGAATCTGGGTCCTCTCTCAGGCCGACTCCATCTTGGTTCGACTCGTCAGGTCTGGTGTTGAYGTAGAACTCTGTCACAGCGTCCCCCTTCTTAGTGAAGACGCTGGACTCTTCTCGGAGGAGCTCGTCRTCTTCGTCACGCCGGTTCAAACAGATCTGGTCCACATTGCCGTTCTCCACGTCGTCCACGAACTGACTGATGTAGGTCTGGTTCCTGCGGTTCTCCTCCTTCCTGTCTCGCTCTGCTCCTTCCCTTTGGTTCTGGTTGGTCTCTTTAGCAGCTGAGGACGTGAAGGACGAGGACGGAGACGTCCCACACTGCAGCTCGTCCCGCAGACCCGCCTCRGTTCTGGACAGGAGAGAGGAAGAGGAGGAGCGAGGAGACCTGATCCAGCTCTGGAGCTCCCTCTTCATGTAGTCCAGTCCCAGGATGTAGGAGCTGTCCACGTCCTCTTCGTCCTCGTCCCCCGAGGACGTCCCGCTCAGCCGGTCCTCCTGTCCCTCCTCTTCATCACGAACCCCGAGTTCTTCCTCGGTGAGCGTCAGCGTGGAGGAGGACAGCAGGTCGCTGATGTCCTCGTCCTCGTCCGTGCACGCCGATGTGCACGAGACGTTCACCARCATGCTGAGGCTGGCCACATCCGGCTCGTCCCCGCCCGGTCCCGCCCGGCTGCTGGGACCGGGTCTCCTGCAGGACCTGGGGCTGGCGGCCATGTTTGTGTCCAGCAGCGGCCTGTGGTTCCTGTGTGAGGACACGTCCTCGGAGCCCACAGACGAGTCCTCGATGAGCGAGACCGTCCCCGAGCTTCGGCCGGTCCACTGCAGCTCCCCTGAGAGGGGGGAGCCCTGCCCCCCCAGAGAGGGGGAGAGGGGGAGCAGGCTCCTCTGAGGGGAGCTGCTTGGAAGCGTCACGTCGGAGACGCTCCGGGTCATGTTGGACACCACAGGGGTCTGGATGTCCTCCAGACGTCTCAGGAGGTCCAGGGTCCTCCGGCTCAGCTCCCCTGCAGCACCTCCTCCTGTGTTTGGACCCAAGTCCAGGTCTCTGGGGCTGCCGGCCTCGGTGCTGGATCCCGGGTTCAGGCAGCTCTCCAGGGAGGCGGTCCGATGCAGGGGGTCTTTGGAGGGAAACAGGTCCACGCCCGGAGCCAGCAGAGACTCCAGACTGGAGGTCTGAGATAAAACCGGACTGGAGTCCWGACACTTGAGAAGGGGGCGGGGCTCCAGACTGATGTAGGGGTCCGGGTTCAGCATGATGACATCATCATCATGGACTCCACCTCCTTCAAAGTCAGAGTCAGAGTCTGCTGGGGTCAGGATCCCGTGTCCGTTCACCAGAATCTCCACGGCCTCGCCTCCTCTCCTCCTGCTCCTCCTCTTCGTCTCCTCCTCTGTCCTCTTCTTAGTGTCTCCTCCAGTCCCCCTCCTCGTCCACCCGGTCTGATGAAGCTCGGGGACAGCCTCCTCCTCCTCAGCTTGGACGTCAGAGCTGGACGTCGTCTCCACGTCTCCGGTGTCACTGACGATCCCGCTCTCAGAGTCTGAGCGGGGACGGTTGTCCAGCTGTCCTCTGCCTCTGTCCCGAGTGTTGGACATGAGAGGTCCCAGCAGGTCTGGGAGGGACTCCAGTGAGGACAGGGAGGAGTCTTTGCTGAGGCTCTTCAGGGTTTGAGCTTTGGTGAGAGGAACCTCAGGCKGTCTGTAGAACTCTACGTTATGGAGGGAGAACACCTGGAGGATGTTACTGTGAGGGGGGACGGCCCTCTGAGACACCTGGACTTGGGTTCTGACTTGACTCTCCATGGACAGAGTCCTGTCTGAAGACTGGTCCGGGTTGGTTTGTTGGGCGTGAGTCGGGTCGGACTCTGGTTCTTCTCCAGGTTCTGTCTCTGGGATGGTCATGTCCGTCTCGTCCCACTCCCAGGAGTCTTCTGGTGCCGGGGCGGTGGGACCTGCTGGACTGATCTGGCACAGGTCCATCAGACCCGCCTCCAGGAACTTCTCGTTAACCTGCCGAAGGAAAAGAAGGAACAAGTTAAACTGGTTTGATTTTATTTTGTTAGTTTAGACAGAGGTGAAACCAGAACCTACATCCTGTCCACGAAAACCACAAACAGGACCAGAGACCACGAGCAGAGACCAGGAGCAGAGACTAGGAGCAGAGACCAGGAGCAGAGACTAGGAGCAGAGACCAGGAG